CTCTCTCTTTCTCCCTTCAATTATCATAATGTATTTGGGAGGGGGGTGAAAAATAATTTAATTGTCGATTGTTGTTGTCGGGGTCATTCCAATTGAATCATCATCATCATCATATTTTGTTTTTTGGAAATTGGCCAAACGTTACATTTACACATTTGAATAAATAAAACATAAAAAACAAACAAACAAACAAACAATAAGGCAAATGGTCAGAAATTTTGTGTTTCCAAATCATCATCACCACCATCATTTATCAAATGAAACGTAAAAATGAAAATAGCCATTGCTGCTGTTGTTGTTGTTGTCGATGTTGTTGTTTTTTACAGAACAAAAATCACATCACCATTTCACAGAAGATAAAATTCACTGCAAAATAAATTCGGTCCATTGGTCAAATAACAACAACAAACGAAAAAAAAAAACATTATGTTGATGACCATCATTGAATTGGTGAATTGGATTCTGAAGGTTTCTGTTTTTCTATTGATTAGAATAAATATAAAGGCAGCAGCAGCAGCAAAAAGCAATGGCCAGCAGTTATCATCATCATCATTGATGACAATTTAAATGTTTCGAAACAAAGAAAAGGGCAATCAAATTAACATAATTATCCAATTCAAATATATATTTTTGTTTTGTTTGGCTTCACCCCCTTCATCACCCCCTATTATTATCACATTTCTTGCACACACACACACACACACAAAATACATACACAGATTGAAGATAAGGAGGGAGTAAGAAACAATAATAAAAAAAAATTTTTGACCAAAATTTTTGATAATGACCTTTTAACTGTTTTTGATATTATCTCATTGAAAATAACAACAACAACAACAAGGTCAAATGATGTTTATGGAATTTGTTGTTGTTTTGTTGAAAAAAATCGATTACCGAATCAACAACAACAAGCATTTTTTGGGCAGAAAAAAAAAGAATTTGTCTAAATCAAACAATGAATGAAAAGTTTCAGTTTCAAAAAACATGAAAAATTCTATTCACCAAAAAGAGAGAAAATCTATATGATTTTTTTTTCGGACACGTTTTTATCATTTATTTGTTCCAAAAAAAACTATTCCAAACGAGCAGATTGGAGAAATTTAGATTTGCAAAAAAGCAAAAAGAAAAATTATTATTGTCATCCAGGGGGCACAATGATCAAGATTATTTTCATCACCAAACAACCAACACTGAATCAGAATCAGAATCAGAATCACACACACACACACACACAAGTTAATCATATTAAAATTCTTCTTATAAAATGATAAATTTAGTTTAGTTTAGTTTTCCTTCCTTCTTATAATTCAATCATTTTTTCCCTCTCTTTGATGATGTAAGATTATTTTATAGCTGCTTATGACAAATACTGTGAGGAAATGGTGAAAAAAAAATTCTTTTTGAATTTTATATCCTAGAAAAGAGGAAAAAAAACTGAAAGAGAAAAAAGATTCAGATTTTCAATTCAATGTTTGTTTTTCAAATTTCAAATGTATTATTTATTTGCTTTACTTTACTTTACTTTACTTTACTTTTCAATTCGATATTCATTCACATTTATACATTTTTCACCAATGACAATAATAGTGTTATCAAATAGTGTTTTATATCGTCTATCGTATTTCTCTCTCTTTTAATGTAATAATTGCATTATCAGATTATGTATGAAAAAATAGAATAAAAAGCCATAATAGCCACATAGAGATATAAGAAAAGCTGAAAATTGATCAATGTGGCTAGAAGGAAAACGAACGATTTTTTTTTGCAAACAATATCTATGCGTTAATATAATAATAATAAAGATATATCAAAATGCCACAAATGTTTGTTTATTTTTTGGTTTTATCTTTTCAAATAATTTATGATCACTACTATACTTATAGAACGGAAAACACTTATCATCATCTGATTAACAATGGAGAAACAATACATACATTGTAAAATAGTAAAAAATTTAAAAGTTTCTAATTAGACAAGGAAAGAAGAACAATTAAAAGTGAAATGTTCTTTTTATAATCACATTACAAGATCATTCAGGATGTTGTAATCATCTTTTGCTCATTTTTTTTTTTTTTTTGAAACATAAATTAAGCCATCATTAACACAGAATGACATTATGAGGGTTTATCGGAAAAAGATCAAATAATGAAATGTTCCACAACTACATCATCCTACTCTTTTATAATCCAATTTTTTTTCTTTCTACTTTGCAGAAGTTATCATTTCCAGAAAGCTTAATACTGAAATTGCTAATTTGAAAAGCCATTTTAATGGCTGAAAGAATTGAAAAAAGATGTTACTTGAACCAAAAAAAAACCATTTTTTAAAAAACGAAAAATGATGATGATCAACGAAATTCACAGATCAAACAAACGTTGAATCAAAGTTTTTTTTCATCATCTTTGCTTTTGCCACAAACCAATAAAACAAAAACCCGAAAAAATATTATTGCTGCTGCCATTGAAAAAATAACTTGATTATCCCGGTTATGATGACGATTGCCACAATTTTGGTTATCGACATTTGGATAAAACCAAAAAAACGAAAGAAAAGAAAATTTATGGCAATGCATTCATATAGCAAGAGCGACAGAGAGACAATTCAATTATGTAATCCATTCAAATAAAAAAGCATCACTTTCATCAATAATTCAAAAAACAGTAAAAAAAGGTTTCGACAGATGAATTGTGAAATCTATCTAATCTATCTACAATTGGAAAATATATTTAGAAAAGTAAGTAAATAATAATCGACCACAACCATCACCATCATCATTATTCGATGGAAAATTTGATTATCCAACATATCACTTAGTGATCATAGTGAATCAAAAGCAATTCATGGACCAATGAACCAGAGAGCGACCGGGTATCACCTTCTTCTCTGTGCTTTGCGTTGGATTGAATTGAATAGTTGAATTTGAAAGTTACAATATACACCTTGTGTGTGTGTTTTGGTTGGTGGTTTTAGCGGTTTTTTCTGTTGATGGTTTTCGAAAATGAATGAAACCACCATACAAATAAAACACATCGACAGAGAGACATTATGATGTAACATTTTGAATGAATAGAGAGAACGTAACAGCCGCCGATCACCAAGTAATTTTTTTTGCATAAATAAATAATGTTTGATGATGGAAGAAGAAGAAAAAAAAATTAACACAAAATCTACAAGCAATAAAAACAACAAACGAAAAAAAAATGAAAAAAAGTTTTTATTATATCCAGCTATTTTAGCGGACAGAAAAAAAATAAATTTACACATTTCAATTTTCAATCCAATATAAAAAAAAGGATGCGTTGAGGAAACAGAGAGAAAAACATCATCATCCTGATATTCAATGATGAAAATTGCCCTAAAGGTTATCTAATTAATTCTAATTTAATTAATGAAATTAATTAATTAAAGATTTCAACAACAACAACAACAAAAATGATGATTACGTTGATGATAATGTGATGATTATATAATCATCAAATAAATATCATCATCATCATCATCAAAACAAATCATTTTTCCAGGAAGACAAAAAAATATCGAGGCCAATGGCATCGATATTCAATTCGTTTTTTTTTGCATTTCTAAACACGTATCATCATCATCATGATCATCGTTGTTTTGAACGTGTCATCATGTTTCGATGATACCGGCTTTTTTTTTGTTGCACTATATTGGGCGCCAATTTGGTATGCATGTTTACACACACACACACACACACTCATCAGACAACCCTATACAACAAACGTGATAATGTTTTTTTTGGTATGTTTGGTCGTGTTGGTGTCATGATTATTGACCAAATTCAATTCACATATGAAGATGATGATGGTAGTAGTAACGTTGACATACATATTTTATTTGGTTGATCATTATGTCACGATTATCATTGAAGACAATTGCCAATTGACATACATAAAACGTATCGTTATGTTGAATATCATCATCATCATCATTTGATAATGATGATGATGGATGAAAACACGTCGTCATCAGAAAAACAAGAAGAACACGAATAGTTCGTGCTATCATGTCCCATAATAATAATAATAATAATAATCGTTCAATGTTGATTTGAAGAACAGAAGAAAAAATTGTATCAAGATTTTTTTTACTACGTTTTTCTTTGGTTACGTTTTTCTTCGATTTGCGGTTTTTTTTTGTTTAAAATTCTGTTCAAACAACCAACAACAAGCAGATATAACTTAACCCCCATCAATGATCATCATCATCCATGTTTCATCACCCTACACACGCATATATTGTGTATAAAAAAAACGAAAAATTAAGTATTTCGACGTGCACGAAAAGACTGGAATATTAATTGTCTATGTGCCATTCATTCATTCATGTTTAGATCATCATCATACATGTTGGTTGGCTGTTTGATTCAAAAAAAAAACAACAAGGGGATGATGTTAAACACGACGGATACATAAAACGTGTATACGGTAGTTGTTTGGTGACCAAGTGTTGCATGGATATTTGAAAAAAAACGTAAATGAAACGTGTTTGGCAAAAAATGATACGTGTGTGCGACTACACGGTAGTAATGATGATGATAGTTTGTCGCAATGAAAAATGAAAATGAAAAAAAACCCATCATACTCAGTTTGGTTACCTAATCAGTTATTCTAAAAACATTTTTTATCCGTGATCGAAGTGAAAGCAAAAGCAAAGAAAAGCAAAACACACACTTGATACGTGCCTGATCACCATTATCTAGGTTAGTATTGAAAAAAGACGGTTATATGATTATAATATTTGTCGCGTGCGTGTCAATGTCAACGACATTGAAAAAGAATGGAGAGAAAACATTGAATGAATGAAAAGTTTGATCATATAAAAACATACCTGGTTTGTACAGCAGCTGCTTGTGCAACAACAGCAACTGTTGCTACCGATGATGATGATACCGATGATATTGATGATGGTGATGATGAATTTGATAAATTATTATGATGATGCTGATGATGTTGATGTTGATTTAAATTATTATTATTTTGTTGATGATGATGTGAATGATGTGAATGATTAATCGATGAAGGATGATGTATTGTATGTTGTAAATGATGATTAGAATTTGACGTATGATGATTATTATTATTATTATGTAATGAATGATGTGATGTTTGTTGTGAAAGGTGATGCGGATGCGGATGATGAGAAATTGGTGGCGGAGGTGGGGGTGGTGGCGGAAGAGAAGGATGATGTCCAAAATGATGATGCGGATCACCACCGATAATTGCAGAATGATGTGGATTTTGTGTTGAATGATGATGAATTAAATGTGGATGATGATGATTTTGGGGATTTAAATGATGCTGCTGTTGTTGATGATGATGATGATGATTATGTGATAATGGTGGTGACGTTGATGATAATGGTGATATTGTTGATGTTGTTGTTGATGATGATGATAATGCAACGGTTGATGATGATGATGCGGCAGCGGATATTAAACCTGGTGGTGTTGTTGCTGTTGCAGCAACTCTGTTTTATGAAAAGAAAGAAACAAGTGAAAAATTAATTATGCATTTTTTGGAAATGAAAATTGAGAGAAAAATCCTCGATTTTCATTTCTCTACACACAAAATTTTCTTCCATTTGAACAAAAAGGATGAAAAAATAGATGTACAAATGTAGAAATAGCCACCATTAGCAACATTATTATTGATCTAATCGATCTTTCTTATTCGATCAACATCACATTTTTCATCTAATAGTTAACACATGCAGAGAGATAAACATAGAGAGAAACAAAGAAAGGAAAAAAGATTTACGATTCAATAGAGATCGATGATCGAAACCCTTTGTTTTCATTGTGCTGGACTAGTGCGAATCTGTGACAATTGAATCAAAAAAGAAAGAAAAAACTTTCTAAACTACCACCACTAAATAAATCATATGGTATAATGAATCTTTTGTTTCACCAGTTCTCGTGACACGTGTTTGAATTTAATTTTGTTTCATTTTTCCCATTTTTTTCTATCCTCTATGTTTACTCAATTAGAATCTTTTTTTTTTTTTTTGGTTTCTCAGCATTGGTTTCCTTTTGGCTTTTTCGACCTTAAATCCTGATGGGGAAAAAAAAATGGAAAAANATCACCACCGATAATTGCAGAATGATGTGGATTTTGTGTTAAATTTGTTGAATGATGATGAATTAAATGTGGATGATGATGATTTTGGGGATTTAAATGATGCTGTTGTTGTTGTTGTTGTTGTTGATGATGATGATGATTATGTGATAATGGTGGTGACGTTGATGATAATGGTGATATTGTTGATGTTGTTGTTGATGATGATGATAATGCAACGGTTGATGATGATGCGGCAGCGGATATTAAACCTGGCGGTGTTGTTGCTGTTGCAGCAACTCTGCTTAATGAGAAGAAGAAAAAACAAGTAAAAAATTAGAAATTAATTATGCATTTTTTGGAAATGAAAATCAAGAGAGAAAAATCCTCAATTTTCTCTACATAAAAGGATGAAAAAAAGTAGAAATAGTTGGCCAACCATATTAGCAATTTCATTATTATTGATCTAATCGATCTTTCTTATTCGATATTTTTCATCTAGTTAACACATGCAGAGAGATAAACATAGAGATAAACATAGAGAGAAAAGAAAGAAAGGAAAAAGATTTACGATTCAATAGAGATCGATGATCGAAACCCTTTGTTTTCATCGTACGTTAGTTTGCTGGACTATAGTGCAAATCAATGTGACAATTGAATCAAAAAAGAAAGAAAAAACTTTCTAAACTACCACCATCACCACTAAATAAATCATATGGTATAATGAATCTTTTGTTTCACCAGTTTTTTCTCTCGTGACACGTGTTTGAATTTAATTTTGTTTCATTTTCCCTTTTTTTTTGTTGCTCCTAGTCTCTATGTTTACTCAATTAGAATCTTTTTGGTTTCTCAGCATTGGTTTACTATTGGCTTATTCGACCTTAAATCCTGATGAGGAAAACAAAAAAAAAATGTAGAAAATCAAATCAAATAAATTGGAAAAAAAAGGGTCAAATCGAATCAATCAAAAAGAGAATTTGATTGGTGGTCGTCGAGAATTCGTCATACTCTCTAAATCCTAAAACAAACAGTAATAACCAGAATTTTAGTTCCAGAAAATTCCTACAATAATATCTATGTTGTTGGTGGTGGCTTTTTTTTTCTTCGGAAAGTTTCTAATGATAGTCATGGTTAAATGAATATTTTAGTTTTTTATGGACATACCTGTAATAAGCAGCAGCAGCATGTGAATGATGTACTGGATGATATGGTGAATAAGCTGCTGCGGCTGCTGTTGTTGGATCATGTATAATTGCTGCTGCTGCGGCTGCAGCCGCAGCAGCAGCAGCAGCCGCTGGATTATGCATTATTTTGTTGTTTTTTTTTAGTTTTGTTGCTTGTTTGTTGATGATGGAAAATCAATCAGTAATTCATTGGCCGGTGATAATCATGATGAATCAAGAATCTGTTGTAAAAAAACAAACAAACAAAAAATTTTCATATTAGAAATGTTGAACATCAGTCGTCCGTCAGGAAACTAAAACAAAAATTGAATGAATGAATGCTTTGCTTTGTTTTCGGGATGAAAACAAACCCTGTACCTCCTCTCTCCATACATTTTTCGTTATAATAGATAAGATGTGTGTATAAGTGTGACACAGTCGCTGTTCAAAGCTAAATTTTGAACAAAGAATTTCTTGTTTTCGGTTGTTGTTGTTGATGACAGAAATTAATGAAATTAATAAAATCTCAAGATAATTGGTTATAGTAGAAGGAAAATTTATGAACTTTTTCTTGATTGATGAAAACTTGTTGTTGTTGCTATGAGTGTAGGTAGCGCCTGTAAAGAATCTTTATGTAAATAATTTTTTTTTTGCTCCATAAATTCAATTAAAAAACCAAAAAAACCAAATAATAATAATTCTTTTAATGAACAAAAAACATCCATTAAGATTTGATTAATTGTATGGTCGAAGAGAAGAAGAAGAAAAAACTAGATAAAGTTAATTAATTTGACCGCAGATAATAATAATGATGATAATGTTTTTTTTTTGTTGGTGGTAGTGATCATAATCATCATAAAACTAAAACAAAACAACAGGGCTTGGGTTTAATTGATTACAAACAAATAAATTAATAAAGGAAAGGAAAAAAACTTGATTATAAAGACCCTCACTCTACATTCAAAAAAAAATATGAAAAAGTCGAGCAAAAAACTACAAAAAAATTCTCCATCATCATCATTTTAATGGATGGATGGATGGGTAACGGTATAATTCGATGCAACGCAAATTCTAAACGAATGATGATAATTCCTGTTTTCTTTTGCCCAAAAAATCATCATATGAATAACAAATGATTATTGTTTGCTTGATGATTATCAACATGGGAATCACTATTATAAAAAACAAAACAAAACATGACAACCACAAACAAACAGCAGAAAATTTTTCTGCTGTTGGTCATCATCATCATTGCCAAATGGATAACGGTATTCGTTTAGTTGGGCTGTTTTTTTTATATCTTTGCAGAAATATTATTCTCAAGAGATGATCATCATTATTAGAAAATAAAGTTTTTTTTCAGGATATCTTCTGATGATCACGGAGAGATAGAGAAAATGATAAACTAATCATATTAACTATGGTCGGCTGCTGCTGTTGTTGATTTGCTACTGTAGTTTTTTATGTAAATTTTTATTTGATAAAAAAAGGAAAAATTCAGGTGTTTTTTTTCTGGCCATCGTTTAAAGATGATAATGAAAATCATCATCAACAACAGAAACCAGAAAAAAATAATTAATGGAAAAGTCAGGCAGGCAGGCAGGTGATCAGATCAAACGACGATTTTTGTCATTGATATTGCCACACGACCAAAACCAAATTTTTTCTGAAATTTAAAAAGTTTTTCAAGAAAAAAAAGGTCATCACCAAAATGAAATGAAATGGAATGGAGCAGATGAATTAATAATTGTTTTTGATTTACAATTCATTCATTCATTCATTCAGTAATAAATATGGACAGCAAGATGATGATGATGATCCTTAGATGATTATCATTTTTTCACTTTTCTTTCTTTGTTGCTGTTGTAGGTCACCAATAGAAACAAAAGTGATGATATAATGGATAATTATTACAAACAAAAGAAAAGAAAATCTTTTGCGCTACTGAATATAACCTAACCTAAAACACAGTAACCATTAGTCATTCGAATTGTTGATGGTAATTATCGTAACACGCACGCAGCACCACTACCAAAAGAAAATGGTAATTGGATTTCAATTAACGTTGTGTGCGTGTAGGATGGATTTTTTTTTTGCACGTATCATTTTCATATGAAACATAATGGTCATCCATTTTTCGATTCATTCATAAACACTGTTGTTGATGATGAATATTCGTGATAAATTCAAAACAGAAAACAACAGCAGAAAAAACATTGAAACAAATTCATATAATGATAAAAATATACTTGAAAAAGTTGTTGGTAATGGTCATTGATTTTGATATTTGTTTTCACCTCTATTCGGGTGACAAATTGATGTTATATAATGAATTATTATAAGAAGAAAAAAAAACTGATGTTTAAGTGAAAATAGTCGAGGCCAGATGTGTTTAGATGACCAATGATCTTTGTCTTGTTCACCACTGAAATTAATTGTAAATTAATCGCCAATTGAAAATCCAAGAACAACAACCGAAAGATCAAAATTGATCATGATTAAAAGATTTTTCTGTTCTGTTCTTTGGATTTTTATATTTTTTGCATCTTTTTTGGGCAATTGACCTTATCGACAAAAAAGTGTGTGGCCATCATAATCATCACCAAAGGAGGTCTCTTTTTTGATTCGAAATCATCATCATCATAATCTTTTCGGATGAATATATTTTTTTCAATGAATATTTTAACTAAGAAATTAATAAAAACACTACCATCACACATACACACACACGTGAATCACATTTTAAACTTTGACTTGATTTGATGATGAATTTGATATCAAAAAAAAAATGATGGATCATCATCATCATCATCAGTATTTTCTCCCAACCATCAAACTTATTTCATCTTCTTCAAATGATTATGATGAATCTATGTTGATCGTGTGCGGTTGATCTAAATCTTTGAATTTGATGAAAAACAAACCAAATGTTTTTCTTTAAGATTTTTTTGGCCAAAATTCATGAATTGATTTTCTTCATCAGAAGCAGCAGCAGCAGCAGCAAATCATATCAATCAAACTAGAATACACACACCCAACATCACTTTGAAAAAAAAAATTTTTCTTTAAAAAAAGCTGCTTTTCGTGTTTTTTGTTTCGATGAAAATCTTTTCAAATCGTAAATAAAAAAACCGTAATTGAAAAAACAAAAAATTCAAAATAGATTTTTAGCACCAAATAAATTTTATCTTTGAATCAAAATGATCATCATCTGGGAATGATCAATAAGTTGTGTGGCAGCAATGTTTATTTCTTCTTGTTTCATTTCTTCTTTTCATGGACCGTTTTTTTTCATCTTTATTGCGTATCAAGCATCATCATCATCATTGAAAATTGTCATCATCAATAAAAATATCGAGGAAAAAAAGATGCAACAACGGTTTCTTTCTCTCTCTCTCTCTCTCTCTTCGTTGATTGAAAAAAAATTACAGCAATTAAAAAAACACTGGGAAAAAATGTGAAACACACAAACAGAAACAAAATCTAATTTTTGATTTGAAATTATCATCAAATTGCCATGTGGTATTTCATTCAATCAATTTTTTATTAGAAAAACAAAAAACAAACAAAAAATCTTAACCACCACCACTATCATGGCCTGAAAAAAACAAGCAGAAATTTATTGACGTCAATAAAACTATCATCAAACATGCAAATGAAAAAACCCGATGAAAAGATGCTTAGATTAGGAAAAAAAATCACCGATGATAATCTAAGATCATCATCGGTGATTTTGACACAAAAAATGACCAATCCAGTCAAAAAAAAAAAAAAAAAAATTGTAAATGTCCATTCATTTTTAACATTGATACTTTGTATATTCTAATGATAATAATTATCATTCATTTCATTTCATTTGGCGAACTGAAAAAAAAATTCATTACCATAATGCAGATTGTAATTCAAATATGTGTTCACATTGTATTAATGGTTATTCAACAACAACAACAACAACAAAAA